TTTATTTAAAAATATTTCTCTATTATATATATATAAAATTTATTTTTACTTACAATACATATTTCTCTCTCTTCTTCTCTTTCTTTCATCTTTCCTTTCAATTTTAAATTTAATTTATCTCAATAAAATTAATTCGAGATTTTTTAATTATCATGATAATTAACCCTTACCGTACCATCTACAATTTGGTGCCTCATCCATACCATCAACCATACCACTTCAAATCTCTTCGTTTTTTTACCTTTTCAAAATAATTTTAAAAATCTCTAAAAATTCACCAACATACTTACAACTTTCTAGAATAAATATTGACTCTTTATTTTGGAAAATAATAAAATGTAGTATAATTTATAATGACCGAAAGACTCAAAGAAACTTGCACGAACAGGAATCGCTCGGTCACTAGTTACCCATATTGGTACGGTAAGGGTTAAGAAAGTGAGTAGATTCTTACAGATAATAATTACGCGAATTCTTTCTCTTTCTCATAGAGGAAAAATCGTCTCGAAATTCGATTGATTCTATCATTATGATAGAGGACAGTTTATGTGAAATATCTTGTATATCGGGAGGAAGGAAAGCAAGAAGTAAAGTAAAAAGACAAAAATGAAAGGAAAAGCGCAGAACATAAGTGATGATAATGAGAGAACGAGCTCTGAAGTTGGGGCTAGAGGAACATTCGAAAAAGACTTTGCTCTTCATCAATATTTTCACGTTTTCTCTCTCTCAACACACACACACACGCGCGCGCGCACACACATTGGCAGTTCAAAAAAAGGAAGAGAAAAATGAATAAAATAAATATGCATTATAATGGAAGATCCACACTAGATGAATTTTTATGTACAAGGATGATGGAGTATAAAACATGTAGTAGAAAGAAGCAGAAAGGAATGCCTCGAAAAATAATACAGAAGAAAGGAAAGAAGAATATTCTATATAAAAAGATAATTATGCGCACTCGTGTATTTATGAATTGCATACGAGACTCTTGAATATTGATCAAAACATTTGATGCATCTCGAGAATGTGTCAGCGATACGCCGTAGAACGCAAATTATTCGTATTAACGTATTTAACATTATTTCCTTTCTGTACTCTTCACAGAAATGTACAGGAAGAAAATAAATGTTAAATACGCACGCGTATCGAATATACTAGGTAAAATTATAACTAATATTTAAATGAAAAATAAAAAAAAGAGATAATTGATAAAACATAAGTGATGAATGATGTGACATTTAAATGATTTATAAACAAGTTTTATCGACACTTGCTGTCAAAATTTTATACCTTTCTTTGTGAAATCATATCTCTCACTCCGATGATTCGACTAGAAATTGTCTTTCATCTAATTCCTTCGGAATGATTATCAAGAGTTCTTATCGATTACACTTATCGTAAACTAGCATGCCGATGTAATAAAACTGTACGTAATAAAGCGTAGAAAAGCATTGCGTAATAAAAAACCATGTAAAATTCAGCCTTTAAAGTTACGAATTGGTAGATGACTACCAACGAAAATTTGTATACAAAATGGGTTTTACGAGATAAAAACATGGATAGATATACATGCTATTCTACTACATTATTCGTGGCCAACGTTTTACTGGACATTAATCAAACACTTGTAGAAAATTGTCCGATTGGTGTCAGATAAAAGGTGATAAATGTTAAACTGTATCACAAAAAATTGTTCTTTTTTCTATCTAATGTATAATTAAATATTGAATTTATATAAGAAAGAAATATTTTTTATTAAATAGTATTATATATATTAATATTATATATATA